ACCCATGCGATTCTTCATATCAGAGACTTGGTGGCACTATCCTACTGCTGGCCGGCTTTTGCTATCGAGTCGAGTTGGATGTACCGCTAGTACTCTAGAGGACGATGGCCTCCGCATCGTGAGTGCACTTCGACGTTATGTTGACGAGAATATCACGGAGCTGAGAAAATCCAAGGCCATGTTACATAACATGTACTATATGTAGGTTCGAATTCATGCGACCAAAAGACGTGCATCGAACTTCAAGTTAACAGGATCACCCGCTCGTGAAGATCCTGGATGCAAAGATCTGTGAGGATGACTTGGTGCTTAACTTCGATCTCATGTCGGCTTACGTGATAAACATGATGCGAGACTGCGGCAACCCGCCGACGCTTGTGCACTGTAAGGAACACAGAGCATCTTGGTTCGAGATACATCGGTAGTGCATTCGATAGCAAGCATGATCATGATCATGAGCCTAGGCAGCAGTTCTCTACTTGGGACTCGTCTGCGGCTTTTTCCAGAAAAAAGAGCTGGCCCAGGGAAAGAAACAGAATATCAAGCAGTGGGCAGAGGTCACCGGCACACGGCTCCGATGGCTAGGAGCCTACTTTAACAAGCTTTTGCTCCGGAGTCCTTTGGGGAGGCACGAAAAGGTGCAAGTGTTGAAAACATTGTTCTTCCGTGTGAACAATATCAACATGGACTCGCTGCCCCGACGATCTGACAGCCAGAAGAGCTTGGCCTCGCAGGCCAGATATCACATATGTGTCACACGGGCTCAAATGTGTATTGAAACATGTGCTCTTGATGTTAACGGTTTTCGGCAGGGAAGCGAAGCGGCATCGGACCTGCAGATCGAGATCGAATGCATTAGTGATATGGAAATCTCTGACATTCGTCTTTATTTCTCCAGCTACGGTTTTCGCCAGTGAACAGGAGTGTTGCAATTAGTTATAAGGTTGTAGGTTAGTTCGGTTGTACAGCACGGGGTGGTTGCCCAGGATTGCGACGAAGAGGATGCCAGAGCTTCCAAGGGTCAAGGCTTCATTCTGTACATGGATCCGGAGCCGCAGGTGGTTACTTGCTTGCAAATACACGTTGTGTTATCGTTACATTTGCATGCATCATGTGTACTCTAGTCGACATCTGTTTTTACATTGTACGTGTATATCTGTGGATAATATTTGATACAAGACAGGAATGTTATATATATATATAACGCAACATATAAGTACCGAGTGTATAATAATAATATATATATATATTAATGTGTGTGTGTTAAGAGAGAGAGAGAGAGAGAGAGAGAGAGGGAACGAGATACGACCAGTCCGGTATCCGAGGAAGAAGGGCTCGGGCCCATGATCATATCTGATGATTGGGACCCTGCTGCTTGACTTGCATTCTGGATCGGGTTTAAAATCTTTTCGAAAGCCAAATGTAGTCGAGGAGGGATGCTGTGAGATCTCCAGCGATGAAGGCATGCCAGCTGCTCATTCGCAATGAATAGCTGCAGCTGGCCGGCTGTTGGCACGTATACTTTGTAGGATCGTGTGTGAGATTACCACCTAAGGAATCGACAGGTCTGGCTATGGATGATGCGGCCTCCCAGCTGAAAACCAAGTACTAGCTAGCATCCAGCGGCATAGCAGCATAGCACATGCATGATCAGGGACCCCATGGCCAAGACGTTCCCCGACCAACGGACGAGCAGATGGAGGAGTTGGAAAGGGAGCATGCCTCTCGTTCTGCAGATTCGATGTGCATCGGAGTTTTGCATGTACATATATATGTCGGCGAGTTTTTGCATGCATTCACAAGTTGTATAAGGATGTTGATGATGCGGGTCTGTTCATGGACGAGCCTCTGGTACATGTGGGCCCAGCTTCTCGCTTTAAGCTTTAAATTATCCCCTTGTATACGATATATGACAAAGATACAACGTTAGCAAAGAATTACGCCCCACCGGGCCCGATAATAATATATAACATACTTATTTTACACGCATATATATATATAT